GCTGAGACTGCTGCCCCCGCGACCCGACCTCGGATAAGCGGGAGAAAATGGATGGATGGATGGACAAAGTCAAATTCATGCTTTGTGCAGTGTCATCTAATGGTGCAACGTGAGAATTTTGTCCGACAACCAATATATTTTGGTCTAATATCACCAACGACCAGCTAACCACTGAGTTCCTCCAATCTGTAGAGAAGCTGATGTTGGTGACGTTACTTCCTAAGATCCTGTGAACGTGTGTATCGACCGCATCATACAACGCGGACAGCGAGACGACAGGGAAGTAACACCGACCTGGGAGACTGTAGCGAGGCTCTAAATGGCGGATGAGACAACAAAACCCCTGGTTCTCAACAACGGGAAATGGCAGATCGTTTAATGCAAGCATCTCCATTATTTTAGTAGTTATGTTTTTAGGTCTGGTGCTGCTAACTTTGCATTTTGACTATAGTCTTAGGCAGGGGTGGCCAATCTTATCCGCAAAGGGCCGGTGTGTATGCGGGTTTTCGCTGCAACTCCCTAATTAGATTACTAATCAGAGGACTGATTGGCTGAAGAGTCCTCACACCTGGGTTTGAGCAGCTGACCTGCAGGTAACCCCAAAGACCTGCACACACACCGGCCCTTTGTGGGTAAGACTGGCCACCCCTGGTAGTGTGCTTTCCCTTTTCCATTAACTTCTGATGGAGTACCTGGACCAAAAGTTCCTAAATACCTAAATTGCCAAACCAGTTGGGGTACTTTATTTTGGGGGAGGGTGGGACCTGCAAACACGTTTTTTTGTCGATTGGTTATACAAATAGTCTGCTGCTGAAACACAACCGCGCCTTGAAAAAAAATTACGAACTCAGAAAATAGCAATAAACAAAGTAAAAAAATAAAAAATAAATGCGATGATAATGTGTGCGTGGACAAATGAAGAGACCCAAGCTTTAACTGTGATCTGGTTGAAAGAACTGGAAAATCTGGATGGTATTAGAATAAAAGCTATAATATACTAGGACTCCATGGTATCAGTAAAAATTAAATATCAGGTTGTGATTATGTTTTAATAAATATAGGGACATGTATAGAGCAAAAATGAGTTCAAAATATTTTTTTCAGAAATCCATCTTACGAGTGATTTAAACTGCAGGGATGAAAATGATTGAAAAGAACATGCAGCACAGGCGTGAACTTTACACTGACTACATACAAAGTAAAAATGTTTTAGTAAAACTTAAACCCTTCACGCTATAATGTCCATACACTGTGAAGATATGAAACAGCCTGATCTCGACCTAGCTATCACGGCTCTTGCGATGTTAAGAAGTGCACGTGCATAGCATGCAATGTTGATATTAATATCGCACATCCAGCCCTATAATATATTACAGCCATTTTTTGAATTTGGCACAAAATACTCCACCTCGCATTGCGATGTCATTCGGTGCTGGTACCAGTTAATTATATGCCAGTGGAAAACCAACACCTTTAAGCACCGTACTTTTGGTGCTTTTCTGAAGCAAGGTACCTGGTGGAAAGCACCCTAAATATTGCATGGCCAAAACTAACCAAGACTGACATCACGCCAATGCCGACGTCTTGATTTTTAACAAACATTGGCTGGTACGATATGCTAACAGATATACTGCACGGCTGGTACGATATGCTAACAGATATACTGCACGGCTGGTACGATATGCTAACAGATATACTGCACGGCTGGTACGATATGCTAACAGATATACGGCACGGCTGGTACGATATGCTAACAGATATACTGCACGGCTGGTACGATATGCTAACAGATATACTGCGCATCTGGTAGTATGAAGCATGACAGGGCAGCGAAAAGCATGCTGTAACACACACGCATTTCTGCATGCAGGAAAGTATATGCGGATAAGTAGGAGTTTGTTTACCGATTGCATTGATGGGCCGCATCTGCTGGTGCTGCTGCTGCGCCTGGGCGTTCGGCTGCCCGTGGACCTGCTGCTGCGCCTGCGTTGAGGGCTGGTTGCCATAGGGCAGGCCCAGGGCCGCATAAGCCCTCTGCATGGAACTGGGGTCGATGGGCGTGGCGCTGTTGATGGTGGGCGTGGCCTGCTGGCCGGGCCCCACAGTGCCGATAGCGTTCTGCAGGCTGGTGTTGGGAGAACTCAGCAGCGCTGCGGGAGCAGAGCACGAACGTGAGAAGTGGCAGGACCAAGATAACCTGAGAAACCACAGGCCGCCAACTCATCTAAAGCAGATATGGGAGATAAAACAGCAGGGTGTAGCTGATGTGGGCTCTTGCTGCTACCGCTCCTGGGGGATGTTTAGATAAGGGCAGTGAATGTGGGTTAAAGAGCTACACTGCCACAAAAAAGTGCAAAGTAAAAAAGTTAATACATGCTTTCGGAATGACAACGTATTCTCTACCCTCCACACTCTCCCCGCCTCACCAAAAAAAAAAACATCTTCATTAAAAGCTCAACTTGTGCATGACTTGTCTCAAAGTAATCAGGTGCAGCAGATTTGCGTCTTTGCATGTCGTTTCATGTGCTACTACTATGGCACACTGTACAATCAAATACTTTTTGAGTTATCATGCTAATGAGTGTGTGTGGCGCTTGGAAACAGCAATACAAACAGCAACAACAACAACAACATTCCAGTTGGCTTTTTGGGTGTCAGTGCTGGTTGTGGTAACGGGCACCAAGCAGAGCTGGAACGAGTGTGAGAATGAGCACACCAGGCAAATGAATTAACTGGGGTGTAAATTAGTCACAGGGATACAGGCCAATCACAGGGTTGCGGGTAAGCCCCATTATCCATCATCCCCACCCTCATGCTTCTGCATCAAGCCCAGAACAGCTCTGGCGATGATGTCCTGCTTTTTCTCAGCTTCGGAAAATGTGCCGTTTGTGCTCCACAGCAGGTGAAAGACAGGAGTGTCTGGGGGCAAGCTTTAGTAATAAACAGAGGTGCTGCTGGAGTGCACTCTACTCACGCTGCTGGCTCCTCTTGTCGCTGGCATTCTTCAGGGGCAGGCAGACGGGGCAGTCGTGCCGAGTGCAGTTCTTCCAGTGCGAGATGATTTGTCGAGAGGATGCACAGTGGGCCACTGCAGACAGGGTGGAGGGAGAGACGTACTTACACAATGTGAGATATCGAGGGCCCCGCACCTCTGCAATACATTACAGCGGAGCCTGGGGCCAGTGAGGCTAGGCCACTCTCACTCCAGCATCAAATCAGAGCTGCACCAGGATGTACAGTCACGTTCTGTGACTGGCTGAACACTCATAGTTAGCCAGTATTATATAAGAATGTACTACACAGGGCTATGTATAAAAATGTCTAGGTTACAGTGAATGATGCAAACATAAAATACAGAAATGCATTAGCTTGCCATTACTTTTTGCAGTTGTCAAGCTGAAATAGCTTCCTCGCCGTTTCTTGTACTATAAACACTGCGGACTAAAAATCCAATGGCTTCAGCTGAGATAACGTTGCAGCAAACTTCAATCTAACTGGAGACCTCTGAGCTGGTCTAACCGCTTCTTCCATAACGGAAAACAAGCTACGCACCGAGAGGAGCCAGATGCGATAAACCATGTGGGCGGGCAGTAAGCGAAGGCCAATGCAGACGCGTCTAACGGATATGGAGCACAGAGGCGTGGGTCACAAGTCACGGCGACAAACAGCAGGTACGGGGGCTCAGGAGCAACGCTACTGAAATTAACCTCCTCAGCTTCTGGGGAGTCGTCCACACTGCATTGTGAAAGCAATTAAACAGTGTACGCTATGGACCTGTGACTAGGAAACTGCCATAGGTCACCGTTACTCTGCTGAACGCAGGGCGACCCGAGCTGCCAAAGAGCGGGCCTCACTGGAGGAGAGCTGCAGTAAGCGAGCCGGTGGTACCTAACCTCCCCCCACCCCACCCCAGCCCTTTCCTCCGGACTACCAAAATGTCAGGCCTCACCCTTCAAGTGAAAGCACTTAGCTTGGCAGACAGAAGACAGAATAAGGGTGGCGGTCCAGGTGATGCTGTTGAGCCCAGCAAGCCCGAGATCACATTCCCCACTGGAGAGAGAGCAAGGAAACACTTGCATGGGGGAAACACAACCACTCAACCAAGAAACAAAGCGAGAATCAAACCCTGCCATGAGGCAGACTGCCGGGGAGAGCCGCCAGCCATGAGGCAGTCCGGCAGGGAGAACGTAGCCCAGGGATGGGAGAACCGCCGGCCGGGAGGCAGACCGCGGTGCCTGGGGATGGGAGAGCTGCTGGCCATGAGGCAGACAGCCAGGGAGAGCCACCGGCTATGAGGCAGACAGCCAGGTAGAGCCGCCAGCCGTGAGGCAGACCAGCCAGGTAGAGCCGCCAGCCGTGAGGCAGACCAGCCAGGTAGAGCCGCCAGCCGTGAGGCAGACAGCCAGGTAGAGCCGCCAGCCGTGAGGCAACAGCCAGGTAGAGCCGCCAGCCGTGAGGCAGACAGCTGGGCTGAATAGGGACCAGGGACGGGAATGTTATACCATGCAAGGATGCCATGTGAAAAGTGTCTGGCATTTACCAGTCCCGCAAGATTAAGATACCCATCTCAAACTTCACCGTAGAACAGACTTCCCAAATGCTAGTAGAACAGGATCTAACAATCATGTTGATCAGCTTGCTAATGGTTTCTATTGCAGTTTTGCAAATTACTTCTTTTTTGACTCGCAACAAAAACCACCGCAAGTGAATGTAAAAATGTCTTTGTGATATTTGAGGGTTCCCCCCACAAAGTTCAGTGTTTCCATCAATGGTTTTTAAATCCACACCCTCAAAATGCCAAAAACTGACACAACCCATTCCCATTCAGGCAGTTTCCTCTTCTGTCCACAGTTACTCCTGTAATCCTTCAAGGTTGTATACCCACATTACCCAGGATACCTTGGCTCTCAAAAAAAAAGACTTGCCGTCCCGGGCACAGATGAGCCAGAGAGGCACATCAACAATTTCTCCACTTTTGGACTCTGATACGTCTCCCATTAAGCTGCATGCATTGCAGTATTTTATGTACAGCTGTGCTATTGCTCTGCTAATTCAACCTTCACACTCTGCTCCTACTGATGGAACGTGCAGTTAGTGAAGATTGGCCACCAGGCCGCGCATATTTAACGTCAAACACTATTGGCCAACGGTTCAGTTTCCTTGTCCAACCCCTGTATGTATATAAAGCTGCGCCATATGAACTGGGTCCATGGCATGATGCCAGAGGAAGCTGGGGTCACACTCACCCTGGCAGGACTTGCCGGCCTGGCAGTGAGTCATGTGGTTCAGGACGTTCTTCATGGTGCGGCAATGGGGCAGGGAGCACGCCCGCACCTCCCCGTTGGCCTGCTCTCGCCGCTGGCACTTGTGGGCGTGCAGCAGCAGGACCAGCTGCTGCTGAATCAGCTTGCGCTTCTCCGGGTCGGCGGTGGGGCCCGTGGACACTCCCTGGCTGGCCATCATGCCTACGGAGGGCACCTGTGGTTGGGGCTGTGGCTGCTGCGGGGTTGGAGCTTGCTGCTGCTGCTGCTGCTGTATCTGGGGCTGGCAGAGAGGGAGGGTCATCCAGACATGTGACTAAGAGGTTCAAACCACCGGAGAGGAAACATCACGCTGGCACTTGAGCGTTTAATATGCTCATGGGAGTTTTACTTACACAAAAATGTTGAGGGCACAATGTAAAATGATCGTTTCAGAGAGATACCTCCTACACAATTGGATTGGTTGAGTCAAAACAACTAGAAGAGGTGCCCAACCAATCAGATGTCTTGGTCCCACCTCCTCTAGTTGCTTGGATCCGCCTCCTCTACAATCTGATCAGTTATCTCTCTGAACCAATCATTTTTCGGTCTGCCCTCAGACCATTTTGTTATAAGTAAAACTCCCACAAGCATTTAATACGGAGCTGTATTAAACAGGTAAGGGTAAAAATAACCAACACACAGCATAAATAAAACCTTCTGCTAAGTAATTATTGGTTAATTTTTGGATGGGCCAAATGAAAGGCAAGGATTTATTTTCCTTAATCACCCTTGGCAATTACTGAATAGACTGACAATTTCGTGGCACTAAGTTCACTGGTTCTCCATATTCAGCGGCGAAGTGCATAAGTAACTGGACTCAGTAATTGGCCCAGCAGCCTCCCATTGCCGCATGACTGCTTCCTGTGACCAGGAGGGGGCAGGCTCACCAAGTTCGGCACGCCAGAGACGGTGGCCCCCTTCAGCTCTGCGGGGAACGTGGGCATGCTGTTGGAGAGCGTTGTCTTGTTTTGAAGCTGGGTGTTGACTCCGGCGCCCCCTAGTGCCTGGCCGCCGCCCTGCGCATACGGCTGGCCGAATGGACTGCTGTTCCCCGACAGGCCCATCTATAAAGGGATGAGGGTGAAGAGAAAGGAAAAATGACAGTTACTGCCATCATGTTGTCAGAAGGCTGTCTAAAGGGGATCTCCCCAGTTCTTCACATGGGACCTCTTCACAGCGGAGTTATTCACGATCCTCACAGCGGAGGAAATCCGCCTGAAAACCCAAGCAGCACAAATGCGGCCACAATATCGCTTCACTTCCTACCAGCTCAATTCGGAATTTATTTTTAAATTTTATTTACTTTCCAAACTTTGCATGGTTTAGGTTCTGACTATGTATCTGAATTTTAGTACAGTATCAAACAGCAAGACCATTACGATCGATCATCTGACCAAGGTTTACTCGCCATTCCTAAACCCAGACTAAGGACTGAAGGAGATGCAGGGCATCCTGTGAGAAACTCCTAAACTTCAGATCAGCTTGCCTGCAAGCATTAGATCAGCTGACTTAGTAGCCATTTTTAAGTTTCATTTAAAAACACACTTATCGTTTAGCCTTTGTAAATCCATTTTATTCTTAATCTGTTCATATATTTTGTTTCATTTAATGTTTCTGATACCTTACAGGTTTGAGCCTTTTCCTTTACTTGAATGTTTGTCTGGAATGCCATTTCTGACTTTATTCCTTGGCTGGTTCTGCCTCTTCTGTGAAGCATGTTGCGGCGCCTGGCTTGAAAAGCTCCATACATATAAATTAATCCATAAATAAATAAGTTTTAAATTCAGCAAAAGCTACAGCTGTGGAAGTTAAAGGCACTGGGAGACCTCAAGCCTGTATACAGATTACTGGCGGACCTGCTCAAGAGACCCCAGCTGCAGCAGTGCTGTGGACAGTCAGACCAGTCAGACCAGTCAGACCAGCGGAAGGCTGCAGACTCCTCCGCTACGGCGGGTGCGGTCAAACTGGTCCGACTGGAAGACCGGGAAGCAATCCTGAAGAGAAGCCTGACGTCTGGCCACAGGACCCGGAGTGACCGATGTCACCAGCCGAGGCTTCCCAGTGACCACTCTGCACGGCTCGCTCTTAGCAATAGCATAATCAGGATGAATCATAACGACGGTCTATACCTTCAAAATACCAAATCCGGAAATAAATGCAAGGTCACCAATCACTGCTAGCAATGACGAAAATGGCCGGTCTGGGCCACATTTAGAAACTGCATTTCATTAATAAAACGAGTCTAATGATGCAACATTACACAGCTAACAAAACTGCTGATGAACTCACACACACACCAGGGGGCTGGGAGACGGACTCAACCAGCAGCTTCCTTCCCCACTTCACCCGCAGGCCGCTTGGTTTCTTCAAACTCCCAAATCCTCCTTTCCTCTCAGGATTGAGTTCTTCTAAATCTAAGCTCAATGCCACACTGGGTGGGGGGGGGGGCACTCGCACCGGGCCCACATAAAGACGATTTCGGGATTGACACATCTGACTAGTGGCGCAGAAGCTGACGACTTCGCCTTACCAGGGAAGCGCCCGTGAAAGGGTGATGGAACGTGTCGAGGGCATATCTGCTGCGGCCCAGAGGCCCAGTCCGTTTACTCAGCTTGGGTCCTTTTCATTAGCGTCCCATTCACTACGGTAAAGACTTCCAGGCTCGAGCCGTGGATGTCTGATGTCTGCCTCATTCAGGACACCAGTTAAAAACCAGGGCTGAAAACCAGAGCTGGACACAAGACACAACAGTGAAGATCACCTGCCATAACATGCAAGCTTTTATTTTCATTATTAAAATGAGAAACCAAACTCCGAAATGACTCTGAAGGCCATGTTTGTATTAGCAGACGGCAAAGACAGCGAGGTGGTGAAAAGCAGCACTGCTCCTCCGCCTTCCCATCTTACAGCTCACATGCTCTTAGTGGCGACGAGAACCACCGGGGTGGGGGCCGCCATGTCTCCACCAGCCAATCACGAGCCACACCCCCATTTAAAATACCCCCAGCCTCTTATTTCCAGCTTCACTATCAGGTGATGAATTTCACAAGAGTGAAATTGTTTACCATCTGCGTCCCTCCCCCAATAAGGTGGTACTCAACATGCAAAGACACAGACGGGCACTCGAGCTACCCCCCTGCCTGAAAGGTGCACGGTTATACTGGACGGCACCATGCTAGATCCACCGCTGCTTCCTCATTCTGCCCCCCCAAATCCCCAGCAGCAGGCGCGCCGGCGAATGACAGCTCTCCGGCAGGCGAGATGAAAAGCCCCAGCTGGACGGGCCAGAAGCTGGCTCTGTCCCCAGCGGAGCCACATCACCCCCCACCCCCCCGGGCAGCACCCGTCGCTGGGCCAGCCATGGCAGAGGGGTCAAGGCGCTCCATTCACACCTCCCGCCACGCTCCCCCTGCCTCCTTCTGAAGGGGCCCGGCTTTCTCCATTAAACATGATTTGTTACTCTCTTTGTTTTCCCAGCGAGGAGGAGGAGGAGGAGGGGATAGGCTGGGATCACGGACACATGCGGGACGGGATTTACGACGGAATGCCACACGCGCCGCCGGGCAGCTGCCTGCTGCCGCCCCCCCCCCCCCCCCCCACCCTCACAGGCCAGACAAGTGCAGCTGGTCCTCACAGCCAGACTCCCTGCATCCTCCGCTCCCGCCCACATACCCGCATACCCTCACACTGTAAACATCGATTATTACCGCCTGGCAAGCACAGGACCCATTGATTAAACCCATTTGGGCACAGCGTGCTGCTTGAAGGTGCCGCTGGAGCCACGACCGCAGCACCAGTTAAACTGCTCTCCTTCCCTTTTTAACAGTTTCTGTTGCAACGGTCAAACAGCATCTTGACAGACTGCTATCACTCAAAGGCACCGGCTGTTCACCAACAGTCGTGCTGGATGCCCGTGAACAACAACACACACATTTTCGGGCCTCCCAGGTGACAGCACTGCTGAGAGAAACAACACGGTCCTGGTTCCTGTTGCCCGGTTCCTGTGGCCTGCCTGCCCACGGTACCCACCTTGCCCATGTTCCCAGCCTGCTGACTGTTCATGCCGGGGTGCACGACCATCTGGGGGGTCCCCTGGGCGAGAGTCTCCGCCAGCACGCTACCCGTGCCGCCAGGTCCTGCTCCACCGCTGCCAGGTCCTGCTGCTCCTCCGCCGCCTCCGGCCGTGGCCGACGGCGCCCCCTGCATGGCCTGACCCTGGTACTGCAGCCCCGGCCCCCCCCGGCCACGGCCCGTCGGACCCAGTGATCCGTTCATCACCTGGCCGGGCTGAGTCTGCGAGTTCTGCCCCAGGAGCCCGTGGGCCTGACCGAATCCGGCGCCGAGCCCAAGGCCTGCGTTATTCTGCCCAGCCGGTGCCGCCACTTGCTTCTGGGTCTGGGGGGGCAGGGTGGGGGAGCCTGCAGGTGGCTGGAGGCCCTTGTTCAGAGCGCTCAGCTGGGGGCCCACAGAGTTAATGGTGCTGGAGAGACCGGATCCACTCCCCGCCCGCAGGAGCTCCGACAGCTGCTTATGCTTGGCGGCGGCGTCCGGTACCATCCCAGTAGCAGCCGCCGAGGCCCCCGCCGATCCATTGGAAGGCAGGCCCATCAGACCCAGGTCGCCATTGGGGATCAGCTCATCCGGGAGGTCATTCTCTAGGTCGAAGAAGGACCCTAGGTCTACTGAGAGATGGGGAGGAAGTGACAAAGAGAGAGGGGAGCAAAAGACATGTTTAGCTGCTAAAACTCAGAACCTGATACCACAGCACATGTACGCAACTTTAATTACCAATGCAAGGACAGAGCAAACATTCTGCAGGCCTGTAGTAACATCATGTGCTAAAGAACTGGAAGCTGAAAGAGCAGCTCATTGTTTCCTTAAAAGAGGAACCTGCACAAATCCTGTAACTATTCCACGAAAAGTAGGAAGATGCACCATCAAATGAATAAAAATAAATACTCAACCGCAGTCAACAACTTTAATCTAGACATTTAATTCTAAGTTATGGTATTAACACAATAAATCATTTCATACATTAAAGTAACAAAAGTGTTTTGAGAATTAACCTTTTGCTTAAGAACCACATACATACAAATATAAAAGCCAGCTGAGTTAGAATATTTCGTAAAAATGGCCACTTCTTTACCCACGCGTATCTTAACAGCAAAGTAAAGGCTTTGCTTGCCAGAGCTGAGCGGAAGCAATAATCCTGTCTGACCTCACAGTGAACTCCTCGGGGCTACATGTTTATGACCATCACACTGCACTTGCCAGTACAGAGCGATGCCACTCAAACGAGCGGTGGGCCAGAGGGCATCAAGTCAGCGCAAGTCTCTCATCCACATCATAACCACCATGCTGGAGCGCCAAGAAACACATTCAAACTATACACATTACAATGGACAAAAACCCCATCTTCACATCTGGAGTGTTACTCTCCTGCTCTGAAAACCTAAGGGTATCATGCTGAAGTGCAGGCTGTGTGAAAACACAGACAGACAAGCAGCTCTGTGATCAGCCAAATTGTTATTTTTTTTAAAACCAAAATTATGTGTTGTCAAAAGCCGTTGCATGAATTCTATGCAAGACTGTTGTAATGCCTGCGCAAAACAATCCCTGAAGGATTACAGACTCAATGAGCTTGATCCATTACCATGAATAAACCTCCCCCCCAAACCCCGCGCATTCTGAAAGTGCTCCTGGCAATCGAATGCCATCTTCCTCTCCTCAGTCTGTGGCCGGCACCCTGCAGACACCCGACAGGTCAGCAGGAAAGCTTAGAGACCCCGAATGACCAACACCTGGCTGAGCACACTGCAGAAACAGGATGGCAGCCCAGCAGAGGACCATGCCTTAGCTACGCAACTCAGAGCGCACCCCCACTGCAGAAACAGGACGGCAGCCCAGCAGAGGACCATGCCTTAGCTACGCAACTCAGAGCGCACCCCCACTGCAGAACCAGGACGGCACCCCAGCAGAGGACCATGCCTTAGCTACGCAACTCAGAGCGCACCCCCACTGCAGAAACAGGATGGCAGCCCAGCAGAGGACCATGCCTTAGCTACGCAACTCAGAGCGCACCCCCACTGCAGAAACAGGATGCAGGGCTAGACATAAGC